TCATCCAGAATTAATTACCTCCTCATTTCTTATCAGTATTCTAATCTACAAGCAAGTGAGACTTAACGCCGATATTAAGCGCATTCTTATACCATGCCAGGTTTAGGAATGAAAATAAACCAACAAAGAACTTACTAAATTCTAAGTACACTTGTCCGGCGTACTAAGCAAAAAAAATTCAAAAGAGGTGCCTAGAATGGGCAGCATATGTGCATTCTTATGTATGTTCTGCTTCAACTTTATCACTGACCAGTTCAAATTTTATCAATTTCTTTGGTTCTTTAGTCCAACGTGTGACAATGAGGATAAGCCAAAGGAAAATATAACTCAATCAAAGAAATTTAACCACAACATTCACAAGCTGTTATATTATGTAATATCAAGTTACAGATCAAAAAAGAGATGTTTGATTTACTGACTAATTTTGATTTTATTACAATGCTTGTGGGCAAGGCAATGTTATTGTACGCATTAACAAGACAGTACACTCCTGCAACAGTCAAAAGTAAAATAACGTTATAAGCTTATCATCCTATGGCAAAAAGCTAATATTTCATCACCTTTAGACTCTTGCACCAAATTAGGACAGTCTCTTCTAAAGTGTTCCACTGAGCCACAAATTTTACATCCTCCACCTGCACATAGGATAGGGAAACAAATCAAAGGTGTGCGCATGAAATTTAAAATCCCTACAAATTTTGAAGGAATTAAGTTAAATTTCAAACTAATTCCTTAATAATCTCCCAAATATTAAGCCCATCTGCACCACGGCCGGCTGTAACAACCTTGCGGGGCCACATCCCTTTATATTTGACTTACAAACAACTGGTCATGGTGCTGGGAAAAGAGATCTTCCAGAACATGCTGAATTGGCACTATAAAACCTACATGAAAATAATATTGTGCCACTATCCACCTGTCACTAAATGTTCTTCAAAATAATTTCAAGATTCTTGAATGAAGGCAGGTAAATGCCAAGCCAAGGGGGCAAAAGCAAAGAACAAAAAAAAAATTCAATATTCTTGAAAGAAGGCAGGTTAAGTGCCCAGCCAAGGGGGAAAAAGTAAAAAAACAACACACACATTAAACAACAACAAGAAAAGAGAGAAAGTAGACCTAAACATGTACAGTAATTAAAGGGCAGTACTTTTTGACGAAAGGCTCTCACAATATTTCCAAATTCCAATTCAACCAGTCTGGAATCAGGTAGATGAAGAACCACTAATGTGGATGTGCTACCTCTAAATCATTACATGTTGTGTATTTATAATTTATTATTTATTTATTTAAAAACGCGTTTTTGCCTTCCATGCAATGCTGCAAATTGGCACCAGAAACAAAAGCAAGTGTAGTGACTGACCATGTTGAGTAGTTTTTTCATTTTTTTGGGCAGAAAGTCACCAGAGGTAAATGGCTTCATCTAAATTAACATGTAAATCTTACCATTTGGGTAAAGTCCTTTTGGGTTGTCAGGACAGCTTCTTGCTATGTGTCCAGTTTCTCCACAAATAAAACACTTTGCAAATGGAAATCCACCTAAAACCATAATTTTGGGATTTTAAATGAATTTTGTAGTGAGTAGAGGTAAAGATCTAAAAGAGGGTTTAATAGACGTACACATACAAGAACTCATTTGAGTATGAAAATTTATGACATGGCTTTCAGTGAGTATATCTCAGTATGTACATAATAAAATCTGGTATAAAAGAAGGGTTGGCAAACACTATAATAGAAAATCTTAGGTCTTGGAAAATTTTGATGTGATCTCAAAATCTCCATTAGCGACACAGGTGGATTCCATTGAATCTCATTTTTTGTGTTCTTTTTCACTTAGGCGTCTTGAAATTTGATTAAACAAGGACCCTGACATCTCAGTGAATAACAAATTTCACCACTTTTTGCCACCCATGAAAGAGCCACAGCCAGGAAAAGCTACCCACCTGTGTCATTTGACTTGTTATTACAGCTTTTAGTTGTATGTTCAGAAGATCCACATTTGTAGCAGTTACCAACACCCATCTCTGTGTCTTGAGCCAAAAGACACTCAGAAACCAAATGCCCAGTCTGCCGGCAATGAAAACATGCCTGTGGGGAGGCAAATGATTTTGTACATGGGTAAGAAAGTTACATCACCCCTTCCACTAAGACACCATATAACCTAGTATAATAATAATAATAATAATAACAAATTTCCCTTATTTACCCTCAGTAGTAGTTATAGCACTTATGCTAGTGGGGCCGATCAAATAATGACTGAAACAAAATAATTCAAAAATAATTAAACTTAACAGGGTTAAGAATCCCAACTGGATGGAGACAAACCAGCTGGCTATCTATACAAGCGAGATTGAGGATTTGAACTCAGGACTAACACAAACAAATCCAGCAAGCGATCAAGAAAGGATTTGAACTCGGGGCCTTCGAATAATATTATTGGAAGTTGGAAGTCCAACGCTCTAACTGCTCGGCCTCTTGAAACAATAATATTTATTGATTGTTT